TTTGCTTATTATAGTGTCAAACTAGGCCTCCTTGAGAACATAGAAGGCAGACAAAATGTCCCCAACAAATCAATTGCTTGCAAATATAAGAGACAACACATGGCATCTTCCATTTGTATTCCCTCAAATATACCTTCTTTTTCATGGTTTTTACCATAAGTATGACATTCTTTATCTTTACTTTTACTCAATCCTAATTAGGCGTTAGTAATAAACTATTCCTTAGGCAGGTCACGCAATGAATACGAAGTTTGATTGCAATAACTATTTTAAGAATTTTATATTCTGAAAAATATTTAGATTTGTGTTTATTTTTTCATGTTCTTCAAATTGAACTTTTGTCTATCTTAGAGCAATTCAAAGAGACGTGACTTCGATTCCTACTAGCCTCATTCCGGTAGGATTTCATGTCATTTGATTGATCGAACTTTAACGGTTCAAATTTCAGCAAGTTGGATGACAACGAGAATAACTTCAAGGTCAATAAGTCCTGTAAATAAAATCTCATTTATGTTTATTATTGTTCGAAAAAAGCCTGAAGTACGGGCTTTTATGATAGAAATTTGACAAGGTGTTGTTGTGTCAGTATCCTGTTGGCCTTTTTTTTTTTTTTAGTCTTCCAATGAAAACTCGCCAAGTGTTGCTTCTGTAAAATTTTTGTTGATTTTCTCTGTACTTATAATATTGCTGTTATTGTTCCACGAGAACTTCACAATGTTTATTTGCATTTTTTAAGAATAAAAATAAAAAATAAATTTAGACCACTAAAGAACTTGTCAAGAACAAATTAAATCAAGAAAATATCCCCATGTATATGTACTTTTTCTGATTCACTCCAATTAATTAACCAATGACTTTAATAAATAAGACTTTTATTTATTTATTTATTAAAAGGTGATTTATCTGTGTAAAATTTTCAATCAATGATAAAATGATAGTGCTTGTGTTTCATTGGAATATTTTAGCTTAAAATCAAGTAACCGTTTATGAAGAATTTTTAAGTTTTGCCAAATGGAACTTAGTGTAATCTAATTAATACTATACTAATATTATTTTGTCTTCCAACAAAAGGAAATATAATGGCGAATAATGACTGCATTCCTACATATTTAGACTACATTATTTTGTCTCTTCTTTAATCTTTATAGTGCCATCAGTGCCTTATATTTGTTTTATTCCATTTTTTTCAAAAATATATTTTTCTCTTTTTTTTTTTCAATCACACATTTTTTAATAAAATAATATTACACAAACGTAAAATATTTTCTTATTTTTTAAAGTTTACTATTCTAAAATACATTTTTAACATTTTAATTTTGCTCAAATAGGCTAATAAGATTGACTAAGGGAACTCTCGAATTATCCACTCTTCCAGTTATGTCTTGGTTAGCTAACAAGATGAATGTTATGAAATATAAAATATTTTATATAGTATTGTTAAATTTTTCTAGCACAATGCATTAAGCAAAATTTCATGGCCACAATAGTTTAAGAATAAGATTTTTAGATCAACAATTAGTAAAAAAAAATTTCAAAAATCAGGTGGTCACAATGTGACATCTGATAAATGTTGTGACATATAAATTGAAATTAAGCCAACTACAATTACATATACACAAAATTTATGGATCATATTCACATATTAAATTATATTTTTATAAGTAGTTTTTAATTTGATAAAATTTGTAATTGAAAAGTTATGAATCTCAAAAAATATGTAATTAAAATTAAGAAAAAAGCTTACTGTACAAGCCCATTTGCACAAAGCCTGTACAAGGGGCACACAAATGGGGTCCACCCCTCATGTGATAGCCTCTATGCAAATGGGTCTGTGTGACCCCATCTGTGTGCCCTTGTACAGACCCTGTGCAAATGAGCCTGTGTAGGTTGCAACCTGCACAGCTGTAAAATTAACTATTAACTACTTGCAAAATTGTAAAATTAACTATTAACTTTTAGTTACATTAAAATTCAGAATTTTCTACCCGCACAACTGTAAAATTAACTATTAACTACCTGCACAGTTGTAAAACTAACTATTAACTTTTAGTTACATTAAAATTTAGAATTTTTCAGAGATGCCCTCTGTACAGACCCTGTGCAAATGGGCTTGTGCAGGTTGTAACCTGCCTGCACAGCTGTAAAATTAACTATTAAGTTTTAGTTACATTAAAATTTAGAATTTTCTACCTGCACAGCTGTAAAATTAACTATTAAGTTTTAGTTACATTAAAATTTAGAATTTTTTAGAGATAAAATTGCTAGGCATTTTAACAAAGATAATAAATGAGAATGGTAAGACGAAAAGCAAGCGAATTTCCTGCTTTTGCCTTAACCAACACATTTGTCTTTGCTCCCTGCATCTCCAAGCCTCGCCATCCACTCCCAATTGCTTTGGCTACTAAACACTTTGTGAGTATTATGTCTAGGTCTAATCATTGGGTTGACTGAATAATTACTTCTTGGTTTTTATGTATAGGGCTATTTTTAATCAATTGCATTAATTAGTTCTTGGACACAATGGGTGTAGGCCTTTATCGATCGATGTTAAATTGGGATAGTCTTTTAAAAGACGTGTCTTGATGGCGCCTAAACTCGAGGCATTGGCAAAATGCTTTGCCTTGACACTAACCTCGAATTAAGTAAGTTGACCACTTAATGTGCGTCTAGACAGGACTAGGTGTGCTTTATTTTTATTTTTATTTTTATTTCTAAAAAATTTTCCCCTTGTTAAAAAACCTTTTATATGACTTTAGTTTATTAACTTTTTTTTTTCTGAAAGGCTTTTATTTGACTTTAGTTTTAATTTTGTAAATGATTTTATCTATACAAAGGTCGAAAATATCTTTATTCGATAAAGACTTAAATAAGATTTAAGTTACAGTGATATTTATATTATGTAATTATGATTTTAAAACTTATCGTTTGTTGAAAACTGGAAAATATGTATAAAGTTTTTATAAATCTGATAAGTAGTAGTTGTCTAGTTGAAAGTCGAAACTTTTAAAAATAATATAGTTTTTGCATTTTGAGAATTTGAAAAACTTATAATTACTATAGGAAATTATTAAATAAATATAATACTTTATAATTTTAGGTGTTTGGTATTTATCATTTTAATTATCAAATAATTTTTAGAATTAATAAGTATTTAAAGTAATAATAAAAATTAAGTTACATCTTTTACGCTAAGGCCTCTCCTAGGCTCGTAAACTTAAAACTTGACTTCCATGCTTAATCACGATTTATGTTTTTTAGAACACTGCGTAAAGTTAGAGATTTAGGGAAAATCCATAATTTATGAGCCAAACTTTGTTCTCCAAAATTCGGCGAAATTCCAAGTTCATTCTTGCTTTTGTGGATTAACATTGAAGTCTAACTGTGGTGTGCTGAGATCGTTGTAGATTAGATATAGAATCATTTGAGTTAATTGTAACAGTCAATTGTATAATTTTGTAACAAATTCTTCATAAACACTAAGGGATTGCTTGGGAGTTTTGAAGTACCGGTTACGAGTGTTTTTTAAAATTATTGATTTTGAGCATTTATGAGCGGACCAATTTTGAGTGGTTTTAGTAGTGCTTTTAAAAATTGTTCAATTTATACTTGGGAATTCGTTATCCATAGAATTTTGGTTTGACACTGCTTCACACCTAAAATAAAAATAAGGGAACTACGTCTGAATTAAACTTGGATATAGAAGTATTCTTTCTTATGAAAAGTTTTTAAAAGAATAAAATTACATGTACGTTCATTAATGATTTTTCAGTTTATACTAATCAATGAAATCTCTTTTACTTGTAAGTGATACTTTACTTATAAGTAATTTTTTTTACATATAAGTTAACATTTAACTTAAAAATTTAATAAAGTTAAATATTTAATTAAAATTTTAAGTTAGTATTTTTCACTTATAAGTAAACTTTACAATTATAAGTTGCTTTTGTACTTTTTAAATTACTTTTAAGTTTTTTTTTATACTTTATTAGTGAATTTTTAATCTTATTATTATGTTTATTTTTTTTAAAAAATTACACAAAAATGATTTTTTTTAGTCTTATAAGTAATATTTTACGTATAATAATTTTTAAATTACAATGCAATTTTTTTTGTGTATAAATAATTTTTTTCGTTAACATAATTTTAATTTCAAACTAATTTGAACACAATATGTTGGTTGAAAACAATTATTTTATAGAGGGTAAAATTAGTAAGAGAATATGAGAAACATTAAAGAAATTGTTGATTTGTTGAGTTAAGTTAACCAGTCAAAATTATTTTACATCAATTTTGGGTGATTTTTAAACTATTCAAAATCAATGTCCAAAAAACCTAATAAACACTTGCATCAATTATTCGAAAGAATATCTTTATTGAGCGTTTTAAAATTGGATTGTCTTGTAGAAGTTGGTGTTTAAAATTTGAATAATACTATTTAGCTCAACTGGGGTTTGGCTAAATGGCATTTCTTTTAAAATTTGGGTAAAGTCATTTGTATACTTTAGGGAAAATAATGCATTTTGAATAATAGATTGATGGAGAATAGAGAATGCGTGGTTAAAAATTAAAAAAACGTTTTGAATTTACGTGTAATATTATTTTACTAAAAATGTGTGAGTGAAAATGAATTTTGAAATAAATGAGAATCAAACAAGAGCTTATTTATTACACTATTGTTGATATTTACTTTGTTGTCAGCAAATAATTGGTTGAAAAGTTATTTTTTTAAGCTGTCAAATTGAATAATGCCATGTTACAAAATGTAAACCGCGACAAATTTCAACACTTTGATGGATTGTTAAAATTTTCAGTTACAAAAAATAAAATAAAATTCACGCCACCTGTCAACACGCTATTGGACAATAAAGAAATGAACATGAGCTAGCAATCAGGGTATCCTCTCTTTCCACTTCCAATAGTTAGAGTCAACCGACAAATTCACACACATACACACAGTAATGGGTACACCTATACGTACAACTCTGCTATTTTTCATAATTTTTTATTCGCAATTAAAAACTGAAAAAGAGCTTCTACTCTGAGAAAAGCATCTGAGAAAACTTTTCCGTGCTTACCACTAATTGCACTGAAATCTTTTCCCTTTTCACACACACTAAAAAACGCACTCTCTGTGAGAAATTATCTCACAGGTTTTGTGACCTATGCTGTAATTTACTCTATATAGGGTTAGGATTCTACATTTCAATCATGTGATACACTAGCTACGGGTTAGGTTTTGGTTTTTTCGGTGGAAAATTACTTCAAAACTGCTTAAACTCGTACAAGATTTGAATGGGGAACTGCTGCAGATCTCCGGCGGCAGTCGCCAGAGAAGATGTGAAGTCGTCTAATTTTTCAGGGCACGATCAAGGCCGGAAGGAGAAGTTCGGCGCTGGTAACAATAAAAAGGCCATCACGGTATTGAGTGATGTTGAGAAGGAAAGTATTGAGGAGAAGTATTTAGTTGATAGGGAGCTCGGCCGTGGGGAATTTGGGGTTACTTATTTGTGCATTGATCGGGACACGAGGGATCTCTTGGCCTGCAAGTCGATTTCGAAGAGGAAGCTGCGGACGGCAGTCGATGTGGAGGACGTGAGAAGAGAGGTGGCGATAATGAAGCATTTGCCCAAGAATTCGAGCATTGTGAGCTTGAAGGAGGCACGTGAGGACGAGAATGCTGTGCATTTGGTGATGGAGTTGTGTGAGGGCGGGGAACTGTTCGATAGGATTGTGGCACGGGGGCATTACACAGAACGGGCAGCAGCAGCTGTCACCAGGACGATTGTGGAGGTGGTGCAGCTTTGCCACAAGCATGGCGTGATCCACAGGGACTTGAAGCCGGAAAATTTTTTATTTGCAAATAAGAAAGAGAACTCTCCCCTTAAAGCAATCGATTTCGGTTTGTCTATCTTCTTCAAGCCAGGTAAATAAATAGTTGTAGTTGCTTCACGATTATGTTTGATGAGGTTATGTGGTTAACTATATATTAACTGTTTGATTAATTGATGCATTTGTCCTATAATGTAGTATATGCACAAATGTTGCATTTGTTTGCACTTTGCTGATTTATATATAAAATGATTTGTCGATTTTCTTTGTGATTTTATTTGTGTAACCAGATGAGTTTGAAGGGAAAGAATTGTAATGGATGATTTATATGCACATAACAAGATGATAGTTCAATTACCAGAATAACAGATAATAAGAGTAATCGGGCAACCCCTGGGTAGTAGGCCAGGTTCACTGAGCTCAAGGAGTTTTGCCTTCTTCATACTAGGCCATCATTTTGAGCCTTAAAGCTAATGCCTTCGGTGCCTTTATTAAGACTTACACATTTGGAAGGGGAAGTTTGGATGAAGCTCTAAGAGTTGGCTTTTGACTCTACTGCCTGTTAAATTAGATTGGGTTTAAAGTCCCTTTGGGGAAGAAAAATTTCTGTTTCCATGGCCTCTTCACTTGTTTGTTTCTTGTGAAACTGTTACCAGAAATGACGTGAAATAGGCTAGGCCCTTATTATGATCATATAAGAACTCAAATAATAGTTATATTTCTTTTTTCAATTGAGTTCTCTTATCGTCTCTTCAAATCAATCATGTATATAAAAATAAACTGCACAAATATGTACTGTGTTGGAAACAACTCTAAATTAGACTATTTGGGTAAAATTTTGTTTGTTTACCCTTTCTTGGTGTACCCTTTGTTATGTAGACTCAAATCAAGGATGTTTGACGTACAATTGTATATTTGGGTTATGATGTCCCGATATGAAATATTGCAGCTATGATGCGGGACATGTGTGTCTAAAACGACACGTGTTGGACATGTTGACACAATTTTTCAAAAAAGTAATGACATGATATGTCATTAACCCGATGATTATCATATTGTGTTTATTTTCTTATAGCGTGGCAGGTATTGACATTTAGGAATTATGATTGATATCATTTGGAGTAGCTCAATGTTGATGCCAACAACATTGTAATGGACAACTAGAATTTAGTGAACTGGATTTGTTTTTCTGGTTGACTCCCTGGAACCATTAAAGGCTGCTGGAAAATAGAAATTGTGCTAACCATGCACTTCTTAGTGGGGAGCCACCAACTCGCAGAAGGAAAAGATAACTGGAAATTGAACTATCTCCCACATAGATACCTGAATCTAACAGATACTCAATATTTCTCCTTTGATTTTGATGCCTACCTTCATCACCTCATCTCACCTACGTTTGTATTGATGAGAAGCCAGTCTTCTCCTCCAAAAGGGATCAATTTTGAAACATTTCCACTGTATAGGATTCTATCATTTATTTCTCATCTCACTGATCTTCTTTAAGAATGTTAGATAAGATAGTATGAAGCTTATGCTGTATGGAAATTGTAGGCGGAAATGTGAGGAAGGCAAAAAATTGTAACAATAATCTTATGTGTAGGAATTCAATAGAATGATTGTTTAATGCATTGACAGATATACCTGATTTCTCCTTGTCCTTACTGCTCATATAACTACTTCTTACTTTGTAATATATTTCAGTTTTATGTACTTGATCTAAGGGTGCACAGTAATGGTTTGTCTCAAAAGATCTGATTCTATACTAGTTGCTGATTTGTATCTATTGTCATAAATTCAAACATGTATCTTGTATTGTATTGATGCTGTCATGCATTTATGAAGCTAACTTGTACTAATCTTGAAATTCTAGGCGAAAAGTTCTCTGAAATTGTGGGAAGCCCTTATTATATGGCTCCAGAGGTGCTCAAGCGAAGTTATGGACCAGAGATAGATATATGGAGCGCAGGAGTGATTCTCTATATTTTGCTATGTGGTGTTCCTCCATTTTGGGCTGGTAATTTGAATTCTCTGTAATAGACCCCTCCTCTGTGCTAGTGGAATTTGCATTTTAATTTTAATTTTTTTTTAATTTCTTGGGAGATTAATATAGGCTAATAGATTAGCTTATCTCAATACTAAATACATGCTTTTTCTTAGTTCTCATGTGGCTTCCATTTGCTTTTATGATAAAAATGCAGAAATGAAAAATCATTTGTCTAAAAGGTATTTTTTTTCTCAGAATCTGAACAAGGTGTTGCCCAGGCCATTATACGTGGGAAAATAGACTTTGAGCGGGAACCCTGGCCGAGTATTTCAGAGAGTGCCAAAAATCTAGTACGACAAATGTTGGAGCCAGATCCCAAGCTTCGACTTACTGCAAAACAAGTTCTTGGTAAGTTAGCTTTTATGTCTCCTTCGTTGTTTGGTTAGTGAATCTAGAATATGCATTGTCAACGAAATCTTATTAAATCTATTTAGTTCCGAAATCACGTTGTTGAAACACTATCACCTGCTTTTGGTGAACAGAAAGTAGTTCTTATCATTTTGGCAATCATTTTTTATTGTCTACTTGCCTTGTGAATATAAAAACTAACTACTAAAGCTTCCAATTTGAGTGGAATATTATTTGATATAACATTTTGAAAGAACGAAGTACAATTACCTTGTTTGATACACTTTCTCATGCTTTTGTTGAACAGGAACCAGTTCTTATTCTCTTAACAATCACTTTTTATTCTGGTTGCTTTGTGAATGTAAATGTATGTGGTAATTGTTATGACCTCATATTTGAGTTGAATATATTTTGATAAAATGGTTTAGAAGTACAGTTTTGCTCATTTTATCATATAAATGATTCTGAGGTTCCTATTCAAAAAGTAAATTTTTTGTAACCAGAAAAGGAAATCTTAATAAAAACGTTATTTCAACAGTTCATTTCATATTATGAATGTCGGGAGAAATCAGGCACCGTCAATTAGTTGTATCTTCTGGAAATGTTATCCACACAGATTTTCTTGTGGTTTAAGACGAATGGAAAAACTTACTGTGGCGCTTGAGTATTCATTTTGATGCTTCCTATGATTTCGCTCAATGATTGATGGTTTCTCTGTTCACAGAGCATCCTTGGCTTCAAAATGCAAAGAAGAACTCAAATGTTCCTCTTGGGGATGTTGTCAAGTCGAGACTCAAGCAGTTCTCATTGATGAATAGGTTCAAAAGGAAGGCTCTGAGGGTTGGTTGCCGAAGACTCATACATTATATATATATATATATATATATATATATATATATATATATATATATATTCTCAAGCTTTTCCCAATTAGCGTGTTTCTGGAAATACTAAAACTCTTATTTCTTTTATAGGTTATTGCTGATTTCTTGTCTAATGAAGAAGTTGAAGGCATCAAAGAGATTTTTGCAAAGATAGACACCGATAATGATGGCATTGTGTCAACTGAAGAACTAAAGGTTGGATTGCAAAAGTTCAATTCACTGTTGGCGGAGTCTGAAGTACAGATGCTTATCGAAGCTGTAAGTTGATTACCTGAACTACCCAGCTATAGAACACTTGATTTTTTAATTAAATTTCTCTTTGACTAAAATGATTAGTATAGAGTTTGTGTAATATAGCCTTGAGGGTTCATATGCTTTATATTGGCACGATATTATTCTATTCTTCATCAAGGTAGGGGAAATAAGTAAATAATATCAATGCTGAAAATTGATCTAATTTTCTTTTACGAGGTTTTGGGGATTTATAGGAAAGAAGGATTGAAAAAATGAATAGAAGAGTAAGGTAGGGAAAGAAGAGGAGGAGGCAGAGAATCTTGTTAATTGTGTGTTTTGGGCTTGGCAGTGGAAGGGGTGGGATTGAGTTAGCGGTTCTTTTCTTTTGATTGAAATGAAAAGTGAAGAAAAGAACGAAGGTGATATGGTTTTATATTTTATGAAAGCATAGACCGATTGAATCTCAATAACCCAAGGCATGCCTTTAAAATCTTCCCACTTTTCAATATTCTTTGTAAAAGAAAATTCACCCCTCCTTTCCATATATAATTATATTGATTTGCATTTCAATCTCTCCAATCTTATTTGCGACTGAGTTTAATTTTTTACCTCTATATCTGTGCTGATAATCATAATTAACTTCCTAAAGATAGCTTACATACTGTACTTGTGACATGAATTATGTTCCTCTACAATTTTAAAGATTTTGGAAATTTTTTTAAACAGATGTCTGTATTTTTTGGAGAGTAGCTATGTAAATTTTGACTAGTTATATAAAAAGGAATTTATCGGTTTTGATTAAACACATTTTGCATCAGTAATTGATCTCTTGTTAATCAAACCATTATTTTATGTGAATTTTAATAGGAAGAAAATGGTGAAATACAAATCTGTCACATTCTTTGACCTGTACTGTTTAACTATAACCACCACTCTGCTTCTGTGATGTCTCACTTATGAATACACTCACACGCACACATGGGTTTACTTCCCTGTAAACAGACGTTGGAATACAGAGATGATATCCGTCATCATTTTAAATCTACTTTTTGCATCAGTAATTGATCTCTTGTTAATCAAACCATTATTTTATGTGAATTTTAATAGGAAGAAAATGGTGAAATACAAATCTCTGTCACATTCTTTGACCTGTACTGTTTAACTATAACCACCACTCCGCTTCTGTGATGTCTCACTTATGAATACACTCACACGCACACATGGGTTTACTTCCCTGTAAACAGACGTTGGCATACAGAGATGATATCCGTCATCATTTTAAATCTACTACCATAGTAACCTTCTCCTACTTTGTGAAAACTCCAAATACTAGTTAAAAATTAAAAACATGTGGTATTGAACGAAAACTAACTTATGCATATCGAGTTTTAAAATCCAACTAAAAAAATTCAATCGGAACTCCATTTTGTTTGTTGCCGAGGTTTTGAAATGGAAATATATTAAGGTTATGTTTGAGCCCCATTATCCGTGAATATGAATTTTGTAATATTGATTTTTTTGGAGAATGTGTGGTTAAAAAATTGGAAAAGTTTTAGGTTTATGTGCAAAATTATTTTATTAGAGAATGTATGGTTAAAAATGAGTTTGGAAAAAAATGAATTTTTGGATAATGGGGTTCAAACAAGGGCTAAATATTTTGGGAATAATGGTAGAAGTGGAGTCGTTTATTGTGGGTTCAGGCGAAATTCAGTAACACAACAAGCTAAGCCTCATCACACATGGTTTAGCTTGTTATTCGTTGATAACATCCTCAAATGTGAACAGCCAATTTCTAATATCACGCTGTCAGTAAAATGCCTTCAATGATGCATAAGAAAATTATGGATGGGAGAATTTGGGTTGCGTGTTGTAAGTGTTTGCAAAGAAGACCTCAGTTTTTTAATCCCCACATCCCCGCCCACCACACATGCATACAATAAGAAAAAGAAAAAAAAAATTAGCGCTATAATGAATGGAACAAGGGGGATTGATTTGTCCCTTTGGGCTGCCTGAGGTATTGGAACAGAACGGTAAGTCTGTTGCCTTGACCATCAAAGTTCCACTAGTTACATAGAATGCTTTATAAATTGCTTTGGCAAGAGCGAGGAGGGAGACAGAGATGCGATGTTTGATTTATTCATAAAAGTTTAAAATTGAATTGAGAACTATAAAATTCATGAATAAGCTATTAAAGCTTCCCAGGCTTGCATAGGCTGCAAACTGATTGGACATGGATGGATGGATATGGCACCCAACCTTACAAAGTTTGCGGAGATCGAAATGTGGATTTGCATCTGAATTGAACTTTAATCTTGTTATCCGAATTTGTTCAATAGAAGTTTGAAGTCAAATGTGAGTTTGACTTGAAAAATTATGATCTTCACGAATAAACATCTATTCATGTTTTAAAATGTTTAGTTACAAGCATGTTAATTAGGTAGTAGGTTAGATCTTAACTAGGTAGATCGATAGCAAGACTGAATTGATCGAATTATTGTTGGACTTGTCCTGACCTCGTGAGTTACAAAGTTTGTGGTTTCATTCATGGAATCCATGGACTATAAACACACAATTGAAACCCGCCTTAAGGCCTTCCTCATAGTGAGGGGTGCAAAGAATGCATCAAGGTGTTGATTTTGGGACAGTTTTTGGTGGTACAACCCTCACAACATCGCTTCAAGGCTTGTTGCCCACAAAGCATAAAAAGTTCTTATTGACTAATTTTTATGATAGTACACGACCAACTACAATATAAAAAATTGTGTCTCTCATAGACTCACTTTGGGAAGAGTCTGCTGCACCCAACAACTAAAATAATAATTTCTTTATAGGTTCTTCTTTTGTTGGTTTGCACACTTTAAATTGTTCTGTTATCAATTTTGAAGATTGTTTATGATGTATTATGAGCTTATTTTGAATTTAAATAATTTTTTGACCTTTTTTTGTTAATGCCTCACCTCATGAAGAAAAAAAGTCTCAGTTCCTAATTAGTCGTTTTTAAACATTGATGAAATCCGCACCACAACCTGATTATCTGCCCAAGTTTTGTTATTCTAGGTCTTTAGTTGGATGAGAAATGGAGAATTTATGCTTGAACACACCTTTAGTCTTAGATATAAAAGTGTAGCCAAGCGTTGGTAACCCATAGTTACTTCCTGTCATTTCAAAAAGGATAGAGAGAGGAGGAGGAATCTTTTCTTAGAATGCTCTCTTTTTCATTTGATGCCATCTCTCATTCTCCCATATATGAAAATTCTTTGTTGCTTCCAGGTTAATACAAATGGTAAAGGAACCTTGGACTATGGGGAATTTGTTGCCATTTCTCTCCATCTGCAGAGGATGGCCAATGATGAGCATCTTCATAAAGCATTCTCCTATTTTGACAAGGATTGTAATGGTTACATTGAGCCTGATGAGCTCCGAGATGCCTTGATGGAAGATGGAGCAGATGATTGTACAGATGTAGCAAATGACATTTTCCAGGAGGTTGACACAGACAAGGTATGTAACAAATCCTCTTGATTGATATGAAGTACCAGATGAATTTACTCTCACTTAATTCCATTATGAATACAGGATGGACGTATCAGCTATGATGAATTCGTGGCCATGATGAAAACGGGGACTGATTGGAGAAAGGCTTCTCGACATTACTCAAGAGGGAGATTCAATAGTTTGAGCATAAAATTGGTGAAAGATGGTTCTATTAACTTGGGTGAGTAAATATACACAAATGGACCATTGCATTCATCTGTGTAAAGTAGGGAGTCACGCATGTATATCATGCTTGTTTTCATTATTTCCAATTGATTGGTGGCTTATAAGGATTTTGGATGAGGGCAAGCGCATCTGATTAGCCTCTTGAAATTGATTCAGTAGTACAGTCTTGTAGCCCTCTAGTATGTCACACACGTTTCTATCAAAATCTCGAATTGTTTCTTGTTGGACGAGTTGAAATTTGAAATTTGTTATTGCAGTATATATTTGTGCTGAAGAACTTGACTTGAAGCTCATTTTCAGTTTGTGCATGATACATATTTTTCTCCCTATTTGTGATTTCTTCTTCCCCTTCTCCCATCTCAAAGTTCTTGAGCGGACCGTAGCGAACCGATATGCACATTGCGTTTTTTGTTTTTGCTTATGGCTGAAAAGATATAAAACATGCTGTTCTTGAATGCTTGGTGGTTCATTTCTATCAGATTTTACTTGGTGCATGTTTGGCGGTTCATTTCTATCTAATTATTATGCACTGTTTCTTTTTACATCTACCAACAAATTCAACAATTTGTGTCTATCAATGCTTCAACAAAAAGTTAATTCCTCTTCTAACGCCCTACTGTCAACCACCACCACCTTCTCGTCGTGGGTGGCGGTGGTGGGTGGTGGTGGTGTAGCAAGGTGTAGGAGATTAGGGGAAGGGGTGGTAGATTTGAAGTACTTGTAGACAAAATTAATATCTTATTGTTTAAGAATAAAATTTGGCAGTCGTTATTTACATTCACGATGGTTATATATCCATTCCACTCTATACCTATCCCTATTAAACTATTAAAATTTTAAAATTTTTTTATTTTCATTCACATAATATTTAAATATTGTCCTTATTAAATTCATTTATTTTAAAACATTATAGATCACACAAATTTTATATTCCACTTAAAATACATCCCTAATACAATATCAAAATTTTAAAAAATCACTACATTAATCTTTATTACGCATAACACCAACCTTCTCACAATTCAATATGGACCAAGAGAAATGCCCTGTACCATAGGACTTTTATAGGGCTCCTCACTGTGCAGGAGCCCCACATGTATTAAAAAAAATTTACACGGGCCCCCCCACGTATGTGTGTGGCCTGGTAGCACCCTAGTTCTGTAAGCCGAGCATGGCTCTTTGGACCAAATATTATAAGATGAGATTTTGTAAACCATAAAATCCCTATAACCATCGACACCCTCAATGTGTCGTGGACTTATTATTTTATTGAAACTGAACATAATAATTTCAAAGGACTCTTAGCATTCATTCCATTGAAAGGGGAAAAAAATTGACAAAGAGGTAATTCTCTGCAAAAGTGAACACTCAAGTTGACATTTACACAAAACAATAATGTTGATTGCTTTAGTATCGTACATAAATCATATGTTTTACTTAATAAAAATAGATAACCTCCCGATTACAAGAGCAATTTAATGGAAGCACCATGGATTGGAGTGAATAAGGAAATATCTGAAATGGTTTCTCACTTCATTTTGACATTCCTAGCATTCTAGGTTAATTCAAGATATTGGATAAAAAATGTGGTCCAGATCAGTTTATCTAGCGTTGTAAATTATCACAACCAGGCAAAGCCAGAGTTTTTCATTTTCAAAAATTCATTTCGGAGCATCGCTGAACAGATGAAATATAAATGGTATGTATTTCATCTAATGGTGTATCTTTTTCATTATTGATTTCAGTTGAAAATAATATTTTATGATTATTCGGGTTTTAGTTATACACAAATTCCAAAAGAATACAAAAATGTCCAAAAGAATTTAATAGAAATAAATATTAGTGGATGAATTTAGAACTATATATTTTTTATTTAATTTTATATATAACTATTTAAGTAAATTTACATAAGATCACACACACACACACACACACACTTATTTTTTGTTTGAATTCCTCCAAAAGGAGTAATACCTTGAGAGATTTTGTAATAAATAGGCTTGACGGCAAAGTGTACAAATCCGCCAACATTAGACTACGAAATTGTGAACCTTTATAATAAAGAAAAAGATCGTCAAGCTTGAAACTAAGAAACTGAGGGCAGTATTACCTAAAATTTGTGTTGAAATATAGAATTCTGTGGGGTCGATGGATATTTTAGTGAACATTTAGAAGCTTTCTTATATATGGTTAATGTTTAGCATCAATGTTCTAAAAGGGGCGACTAGTCCGTCTAGGAGGGTCGAAGAAAGCATACCCATCGGGGCAGTGCTTGTAAAATAGCTGTCAACCCTACATTGACCGTAAGGCGCACACAGACGTAACAACGTGCACATTTTGCATGGCAGGTAGCGTTTTCTTGTTTTAAAATTCAGCTATATAAGAAGGTCCATTGCTGCTAAACCTTAGCAAAAGAAAATAAATAAATAAATAAATAAATAAATAATAAAACTTAACCTAGGCCATGAACGATCCCAAATTTATGTAGGGAAAATTTCATATTTAAGGTGATTACAATACACAATTTCAAAATTAAAAAATAAGTTTTAAAACTTGAAAAATTAGATAATAATTAAATTTTATTAATTAAATAAATAATTAAAAAAGAATTAATTAGATATATTAATGTCACAATATTAAACAATTTAGTCACAGGTTATCAAAATAATTTATCACAAATTATTTTTTGTTCACAAATCAAAAAATTTATATGTTACAATTTATTCACCAATCAAAGATCAAAATTTTTATAGGTCACTATTTATTTATCGATCACAAACCATAAATTTTATAATTCACAAGTTATTTCACGGCTCAAATTATCAAATTAATTGATCACAAATTATTTTTTAATCACACATTATCGAATTAGTTGGTCACATCTTATCAAAATTTGTAAGTTTTGCAGCCATACAACAAATTTAAAAATGATTTATATGCCCTAAAAGCAAACTGAAATTATTATAGTAATTATATTCGCTTCACAATGATTGTTAAACTGCAACACATTTTAATTATCATGAAGGAACCCAATTTTTTACTCATTTTTGTACTCTGTCCCAACTTTTTTTGATCGCATTTTTATGACACTTTACTTAATTGGCTTGGAAGGTTGGACCATAAGCCTACTTCCAAGAATTAGGTTAATATGGCAACACAGAAGAAAGATTTGAAGATCAAGAAGAAATGGGAAGCGCAACCCATGTGATCTTATTTTGCTCTCAACACCTTTCTATACCAGCTGCGAATTTGCACTCTTCATTCTATAAAAGTATTAAATACATAGGCTTAGTTAAATTATGGATCTTATGAACGATTATGCAAAAAATGCTAGTAAGCAAACGATTTTCTTGGAAGAAAATAGTAAATGGTTTTTTCAATTTATAATTTATAATCAACTCAAAAGATGTGTGTGCACAACCATTTTTTCTCCTTCATATGAATCATATCGAAAGCCTTCTCCATAAGGACTGAGTCTTCCATGTCTTGGCCAGAGTTGAAATAAGCTTTAGAGAAGCGCTAAAAGAGATGGATGAAACTGATTTTCTTTTTTGAGAAATTCGAGATGGAACGATTGACAGATGTTGTTTTGATAGGGAGATATTCTCTATGGCCCTTCAAGTATCCTTCTTTTCCTTTTGAGATCGCAATAGCCAGCTAAGAAATATGGCATTAGATGCTTGGACATGATCATCCTAGAAAGATTTGATTCCAAGAGATGGATATCGATTATGAAGAGCTTGTTCATCCCTCCCCTACAGTCTTGATCCTCTCCATAGGTATTGCTCCACGGTACCAAATGCGAGTGAAAGAAGGGTTTATCTCTATTTGCTCCAAATAAAAGATATGTACGGAATACCTTGCTCGACTAAACAAATATAATATATGAAGATACCATATCTAAAGGGTTCTCGATGATAACACATAGAAATAGCCAAACCCTAGTTCCATGGGTTGATCAGTCATTAGGGAAACCTTCATCTGCCTTGAGGAATTGAACCGAAATAGTATCATAGAAGAAAGAGTAGTCACCAAATCAATATCCTTTTTTTTTGGCTTTGATGGAAAGGATGGCTGACACAAAAGAAACATCGACTTTATATAAGTCTATTAATCTAACAAGAAGAAGGCAGGCAATGTACATGGGAAGATCTTTATGTTCCGGTAGATTTCATTTCAGGAGAAGAAGAGGCCTAAGCCTTCCAAACATATTCATTAAGTTAATGTGCGGGAAGAGATGGGGTTAACCACATTAGCTATTTTAGGAGAAGAATCTTCAAGTTGCTCAACCACCGACTGGGAAGAGGCAAAGGCTCAATAGAGGAAGTGCATCATCAATTCTAAATTTCTTGCCCTTTTCTAAGGCTAAAAACATACCGAAAGCTCTCCTACTCGACCCAATGAAAGTACGTTCAAGATTCAACTCATTAGAAGAGGGGGCCTACTCTAAGCCAAGCAAGGATATGGGCTCCAAAGAAGAAAGAAGCCTATCTATCTCTATGCAGAAAACATAGTAGTGCTTTTACTCACTGAACTCAAACGTATCCAAGGGTTAGATGGGTTTGTACAATGAGCGGTAGACATCAAACATTCTATTGATTCTTAGTTTTTGGGTTGAAAAATCTCACGATCCAAATGGAAGCTCTTTACTTGCCTTAGCCTAGCAGATTATCGATTACCAGTGCCTTATTCCCAAGGCGTATTACATACATCAAAGCTATGGAGGACGATGCTAAAGTTGTTGATATGGAACTCAATAATTTTGTTGACTTTGAAGAGCGTGATTGTTTTTATTGTATTTTCTTCTTTTAAACCCTAGAAAGCACCTACTGAGTTACGTACGTAATCTCAAATTTCTCTGGACACGGATAATCTTTTATGCATCTAGGTTTATTAGAGGTTCGACTTCCTTTCGCCCATCTTTAATATTCAGGCCCTGAAAAATAAAGAAACTAAAATCTACAAGCATGGATGATTTTAGCTTTAGCTCTCTCTTTTTTCTTTAGAATATTTTCAAAAGACTCTCAATTTTTAAAAAGCATATTCTATTATTTGGAAAGCATTTATACATTTAGAGAGTTAAAATTTTGAAGTATTCCAACAAACTCTTTATATTTAACGCTTAATTTTACTTCTTCCAAAAAATATTTACTAATTTTCTCCATCTTTTATTTGAACTAGTTTTTTTTTCTAGATTATTTCATTATTTTACAACAATAAAAATTAAAACATTTTGAATGCATTTAATTATAGAGAGTGAGACTCTCTAA